AGATTTTAATTTATAAACATTTTAATATGTATATATATATACTTTTTGTAATAAATTTAAATAAAATGTGTTACTTAGATATATAAATAATTTATAAATTCAAATATTTAAACTAATTGATAAATCTCTATTTTTATTTAAATATGTAATTTTATTTCAAATAATATTAAATATAACAAAATTTATTTAGAAAATCGTATCGATCCTACCAGTCCAACCGATTAGTGTTGACGGATTCGAGAGCAAATATTTTATTCAAACGAACTAGACTGATTATAAACCGGTTCTTGATCCATTCGATCGGACTGTGTCCAACCCGGTTTAATTTAAAAATAATAGATAAATCATGATGAATGTTACTTATATATTTAATTTATAATACAATCGTAATATTGTTTTTCCGTGCATCACACGGACTACACACTAATTGAATTAATACTAAATGTAATTTTGGTTGGATTATTCGACAATAGCTGAATTTTGTCGTAATCCCTTCTACATCTTATTTCTCTTATCTATAAAAAGAAGGTGCTGCCTTCAGCTTTTGACACGTGTCCCGTCTCTTAATATTAAGCCACGTCGCCCGAAATAAAAACGAGGTTGTTTTGGCCTGATACTTCTCCAACCATACGGCCTACGCGTTCTGTAACACCCCGCTTATCAGAGTAAATTTTTCGCAACTTTTATTTCGAAATTACTTATAACTCTTTCGAAATCTTTTTGCGAATAACTCGGGATGCTACTTAAACTCCTCCTTCATAAAAATCTGTTTAACTTTAACTTTGTCTAATTATTTATTTTAGACATAACAAAACAGATTTATATATATACTTGCATTTAACTATATCATGTTCATATTTATGAAATGATAAAAACTTGAAATCTGAATTTATTTAAAATGCAAGTTCACATATTAATAAGCGTAGCGGAATTACTTAAAAACGTGAATAATTATACAGACTTATTTCATTTATTACAAATGTCCTTTGAAATGAGTACTCGACCATCACCACCACTTTATTTGCTCACACCTCCGGCCCGACCCTGTTACCTGAAAAACATAATGGGGGTGAGTACTGGTCCTTTTGTACCCCGTTAATACCCATACTAAAGTAAACATCAATAATAATACAATATCATGATCTTTGGTATATATATAATAACTGTAACTTAATCTGGCCGATATATTATCGGATACTTGTGCACAATCTGATGGATATTTCTAAGGCACGTATCGCCTCCATCAGAACTTAGGATATAATCTTCGAGACAAATTAATGCCTCCTCATCCCAAGCGTATAAACTTAAACTGTATACATACCTCGAACATGATAACAATATTATACTCAATGTAATACCCAGTCTGGGTCCCCACCTTTCTCCTTTGAAATCGTAAGTGTTGGTCTCGAGTAGCTAACTCTTCAAGCTACATAAAAATACGTAAACAAATATACTAAGTACTATGCTCGTATACTCGGATTTTCAACTCTTTCGGATAAATCATCCAAATCTTATAAAATCTCAATATTCTTGTTATGGTTCAAACTTTTCTTGATCTTTTACTCAATCAAATACTTACTCATATTATTTCTCCCAAATCTTATACATATGGCTTATACTCATTTTTCACTTGATTATCTCGAAAGTGAAAAATAACTCAAATCATACTAAACTTTTCATCATAATATTAATATGTGAGATTTACAACAATCTTTATAAAATTGTATACTCAACATATTAAACTAAAACTTGATCAAATTGCTCATTACTCATATAAGAATTTTTTTTTCTAAAAATTCCATTTTAAAACTCAACCATGTACTAAATACTCTTGCATATAAAATCATCTTGACATGTATGCCATATAAATATTTTAACTCGTTCATTTCTCAACATAAAATCATGAAATTTGGCAGTCATGTTCTTAACCCATATATAAGCATGTCGTAAAAATTTCATAATTTTATCATGCGTATATATCGAGTTATTAAAATTTTAAAGTCACAGCTGAAATAAAGAACATAAAATTCAACTTGCATGCTTAACTTCAAAAATTTATAACTCAAGCTATACTATGCCAAATGACATAATTCTTTCACCTATATACTCAGCACTTACACAAGAAATATCCATAATAAGCTTAACATATCAGGTTATGCATATCATGCTCAAATTCAAATCAAAACAGTACATATATAACATGTGATTGTGCTGGAAACGACTTATCATTTTTTTTTTCATGCTTAAAATTTCTTTAAAAATTGAATATATATATATATGGCATGAAAATACATCAATATTCACTTACTATGACATATGATAAAAAGGTAGCATCTAACCTTCTTCAAGAAATTTGAAAATGAAACTTCGGAAGTTGATCTCAACTTATCTTCGTCAAGATTTCTCTCGATTTTTCTTCCTCACTTTATAGCTAAGACTTTGCTTATTTTTGTGTGAATTTCGAGTCTATGGTGATACCCCTTTATATAGGGTAGCAAAGGAGACAATATCACCTTCTTCACATCAATACTTCATCATAATAAACTCATTAGGGCCCTTGCCATTAATGTTGTTATAAAATCATTCACAAATTTGATTAAGCTTTGAAAAGTACTTGTAATGCATGATTCATCTTGTATATATGAAGACAAACTCCTCCATTTGACAAATCCTCCATTATGGCTCGAATTTAGTCCTAAATGGCTCATTTATTGCTTAAGAATACTAAAAAAATGGTTATAAAAATAAATAAAGATAAAGAATAAAAATCATAACTTGTAAACTTCTCAAATCTATAGTCAATGCTTAGAAAGGGCCATCTTGTGATCCTAATCTAATTTCCATGATAAAATTCGTGACTTAATGAAAAATCTCCAATTTACGGAACCGAATTCTGACTTAAAACGAACGGTTACCGAAAAATCGAAAATTCTGAAAATTTCAGATTTCCATCTTTTTCTTTTGGCCTTTTTCCTTTTTATGCTGAAAAAATTTTAGCTCTTAATAATGATCTTGAAACTTGTAAAAAGATACAAGAAAATAAATTTTTCGGAAACGAAATCGGACTTAATTATCGTCTACAACCGAACATCGAAAAACTCGAAACTTGCGAATATAATTTCGAATATACTCTTAATAATATAAATAGACCTTCTTATCTAAATAACTTCTACTTAATCCTTATAACTTATCAAATCATATAAGTCACATAAAATACTTAGGTAATTTATAACATTTACTCGACTAACTCAATTTAATGAAAAACGATTCTGATTTAACTTTAATGTCGAGCCAACTAAAAAAATAAAATTCTAAGAGATTTATTAAGGCTTGAAAATATAAAAGATCATTATTAATAAAAGTAAATAATTACTTTTATTAATTACTGAATGGGATATTACACGTTCATTCTCCCAGACAAATTTCTTTCTCATTTTTTCTTCCATTTGAATTTGAATCTACCATTTCTTTTCCTATGCAAATCTCTTCAATTTTTTTGTTTGATTTTCCGTCCGCCGATGTTTGGAGCCTCCAAAATTCAATCTACAATTCATATTTCCTGTGCGAATCTATTCGACTTTTATTGCGTTTCTGCCGATCCGGGACTTAATTTTTCCGTTAACGCCTGGTTTGAGAGCCATAGCCTCAACGGCATGCAATTTCAACACTTATGGGTCGATGGAGCAAAGCTAGATGGCACGGAGTGTATGGACTCAAGATGAGCAGATTACTCGACTTAGGTAAGCTTCCTTTATTATTTAGTTTTAATACTTTTCGAATTTAGGTTAAGTTTTAGGTTTCTTACGTCTAATGCCCTTACTCGACTTTGTACATGTTTCTGGAGTCGCTGGATAACTACCGGCTGCACACGAGGAAGGATGAAGATGAGAAGAATTTGGTGTACAAGGGCCTGCTCGATGAGCAGAAGATAGAGCCTATTGTGCCTGCAATCCGTTGCTGTGAGTTTTAGATTTTGGGAAATCGGTTCTTGAACATTTTTTAATCTGAATTTAAGCATCTCTGTTGCATGTTTTGACTGTGCTTTTACATTTTTCCACCAATTGCATAATATAACATTGTTTAATTAATGAAATCAAAATTTGAAAAACTAAGCTAATTCCATTCAGACAAATGAACCCAATTGTGATTCAAAAAACAGAAAATTCTTGATTTATTGGTCCACATTTATGACCTCTGAACTGCAGGAGGTGTATTCAACTATTTTACATTATATCGAGGAGAAATTCTCTTTTATTGCGTTCTTGAAGATTACATTTAGGTTGTGATTCTGTTCATCTTCATGCTTTCCAGTAAATTGTGTTGAGATGAATTAAACTATATTACAAATTTGTCTTGAACACTATGTATACGTGCCCGTTTCTTTTAAGTTAGTTTTGAAGGTTGACCAGAAAAAGAAAAAGAAAAAAGAAAAAGAAAAAGAGAGCAAACTTATTAGCTAGGAGGCAACACCAACAAGATCCATACTATGTTTCGCTGGCCTAACGTGATCCGCAAGGCAAACAGCTGTAGATGAGTACAGATATTTTTAAGTATGTACAGCTTAGGTGATTCTAATTCCACTAGAGAAAATTTGGTTGTACCCAATGTTACAAGTTTCTCATTTGTTGCATACTGAACCAACTTGCCATGTATATGCATCTTGGGATTTCCCTCATATGATCAGAGACATGGAGCTGGATTTTATTCTTAAGACATTCTATACCTTTGTTTTATCTTAGTTTTTGTAATTAGACATGTCACTCTGAACTTTAATGAACTTCGTTGCTAAAACTATATAACCAACAATATAGATTTCTGCTCTATTTTCGTATTTTTAAGACTTTGGGAGTTAATATATCCTGTTGAAGCAAAAACTTACTTTCAGCAATGCTCTATATGCTATTTCAGGTGAAATTTGCGGAACTCAAGACACTTTTATGATGCTGTAACGTTTGGAATGGGAACCTTGTGGATCTTTCTAATCGAATCTTTCTGTCGAGTCGAGAAAGAATGACATACTGGCTGATCATTCAACTACTTCGGTATTGATACGCATGAAATCTGATTGCAGATATGTGAGACCCAAATTTACCTCCAAAGTTTAAAAAAGCTATTCTCTATCATCCATCCGTAACACATTAGTTAGCGGTGAGAGCCAGAACTTAACATTCCATGAATGAATTTGGGCTTGATGACTTGGTTTGAAGTTTGAAGGCATATTACGACGTATTAGAAAATAAACGATTTTCTTACAGAGTCGCATTTAATTGAAGTTTTAACAAACTATATTTTCCCTTATTGTGCCTTTACGACTGATGGGTGATGGCAACAATTTGCGAGGAGCGCCCAACAGATAGTGTTATGCTAATATATTTGTCTACTTCAGGTTTGCCTTTCATTTGAAAATTTGTTCCATTTAAGATTGGGTGTTAGCATGCCAACTGACATCATGTTGTGGATGCAGGGATTTTTGGTCATTGTAGTACTTCACAAGCTGAGAACTCTAGAATGTCGAGAAAATACACTTTGACATGTGCCCTTGTTAATAACCATCATGAACTGTGGAATGGTTTTACTGAAGATCATATTAATAATAAGGAGGTCTAAATCAATATTTTGAGAATCATTTGTCATTAGGCCCATGCAGAAGTAGAGGTAAGATTACAAAAATGTATTTACTGTATTCTTATTGTGCTATGAGATATCTCGTTACAATGTAGTCTTGGTTTTGCTCTCTAATGTTAGCTAACAGTGCAATTCTTCTATTGCATGTTCAAATATCCTCTACCCTGGTGATATAATTCTTTTCACCAGAAAGCCTCTCTTTTTGATAATTGATAGTGATAACAGTCATGCATTCAAGGCAGGTTATAAACTTTTGAAGTGTTAACTCATATGTGCGCATATGCTTCACCAGCCAACCATATCCTTCAGCTATTAATAAATATCAATCGGTGTCAGTATATTGATGTTTATTTGTTGATTAGTTAGCAATCATTTCAATCTTCATTACGATGAATCTCTTTAGATGAGGTTCAAATCAATTCACTCTGGTTAATTCTGTTTTTCTTCTTTGAGCGAGGGAATCAAAGTAAGCTTCTCATTGATTTTATGTGGTCAAAGTTGCATAATTATGTCACTCCTTGAAACCAAATTCACAATGAATGGCCTCTTTATGGACATATATAGGAAAGAGGTGAAATCATTCATCTTTTTACTTGATCACAAAAATAGTCATGCACCATGCATATTCTGCTGCTACGACCTTATTTTGCTCATGTGTATTATAACTAATAGCACTTGAACATATTTTAGTGAACACGGGTACATAATCCATGTTCGTATGAATGTTGTGTAGTATAAAATCCAAATGTTAAAAATTCATAATGGCATTCATACATTCACCTAAATTGAGCCGGCTGTGCTGTGCACAGCGTCGGTCTTCTAGTAAATCTTAATAAAGGGAGGTTTGCAGGGTAGTTTTCTTCCACGTGGATACCTTTAACTTTCTGCCGCCCACCAAACCAAATTCATTACTTGACAAAAAATGAGCATCTGCAATTACTCAAATGCCCCTATGGTCCTACAATAGCTGTAATATAAAAAGTTCTTTCCAATTTGTACTCACATTTACTCAACTAATTTTTTTCCTTCCCCTCAACATGAGGTTCGAGATAGTCACAGAAATTAGGGATTCTAGATTATCTGGGAAATTTGGGATCTTAGGTCATCACGGAAATTATGGATCGGCCATTTTCGTTGCTCCTTCAATTTCATTGTGAAAGATGTTCACATTCGCTTCTTCTTGATGAAATGTTGAGGTACGGAAATTTCTTGTTTTCTAAATTTTATTTTATTTCATTTATGTTTGCCCTTTTGTTTTCTTTGCTGGGCACAGCAGACATAAGTTTTCCTCTTTTTTTCCCCCTTTTTGTGGCCAAAGGAAATCGTGAAAGAAAAATTTGCAGGGAGTATGTTGGCCATTTTTTTGCAACAATTGACAAAACATATTGATTCTGAATATAGGTCAAGGGTTGCAGTAAATTTAATGTAATAATAAGCTACAAAATCTTTATTTAGTTTTTTAATGGGTTTATGCATTTATATTTCTTATGTACATTGCTTTTTTAACATTTGGATTTATTTTCTTTGTTTTCCGTTTATTTCGTAATTTTTTTTCCTACCTGTTAGGACAAACTTGATACTCCGTTTCTTAATGCGTCGTAGAATGTCAACATTTTTGTAAATTAGTTGTTGTTGAAATATTTTATTCATTCTTTTAATTTTATCCTCTTTAATAAATTTTATCTTTTACCATTAACTTTAAAAATTAAGTATTAATAATTTAAACACTAAATTTATAAGAATTAATATATAAGATTATTATACATTTCATTAAAATTCTAATTTAAAATTTTTAAATTAAAACGACATCTAAAAAAAACAGTATATGATTAAGATTGGAGGATAATTTAAAGTGACAAATTGAATAATTTTGCTTCATCTATCTAATTATGTAAAAATGACCCTAAATTTTGACTATTCTGAACATTAAATAATGTCCTAAAAACCTACGTGTCCTAATATGAGAGAGTTGGCTATGTTGTTCCTATCTAGAATGTATATTTCTTTTAACTGGAGGCGGCCGACATATTTTCACACAGTACATAAGAGCATGGATTAGGGAATAAGACTTTCAGTCACTTTTTTTCTATTCTCCTACCAACGGCAAAGTTTTAGTGTTAATATGTTGTTATTTACTAGAAGATGTCTATCTTAAATTAGATTTGTTCATTATTTTTCCTTTATATTCGGAAATATTATTTGTATGAAATTTCTTCCTTTTTTTAGTTATGTTGTTAAAGGATTTCCAAAATTCAGACTTAATTGATCATCACATGTATACAAAAGAATGAAGTTGAATTATATACTATTTACAAAATATAACAGAGATCATACAAGATAGATCATCACTAACCAAGTTAAATTTACATCACAATTTGGACAGAGATAATTTAAGAGTACAAAATTACTCTCACAAGTCTATTTTCTATCCATCCTTATTTTTCTTAATTTTTATCCATGTTTATTTTTGTTCTTGGTTTTCTTTATCTTCCTGACATGAAACAACATATTGTTAACAAGTATTACTGATATTGTAGTATAATGTCTTCTGCTTTTATGATTCGCGACCTGCTCATTGTGAACTTGTAGCCATTAAAATTGTTGTACCCATTAAAATTGTTGATTAGTGATCCCACGAGGCAACGTGATTTTTGGATATATTATTAGCAATCTTTGCCAATGTTGTTACATTTTACTTTCCTTTCTTATTTTCTTTATCATTTTTGGGCCGGCTGTACATAGCACAACAAGAGATTCCTAGTTTAATTATATTATAAAAAAATCGTCTCAATTTTTCTTTGTGTGCTATATGCATTGGGACATGAAATGTAGTAAAAACTGAATATCTTAATTTTTTTATTTATTGATAAAGTATGAAATCAAAATATAATGCTATATACAAAAATTCTATGGAACCATCGAATGGCTTTGGATTCGATATTTTTGACATGAGAAATATGAAAAATAATATGACCAATATTTTTTGGTATAAATGATTGGAGTAGAAGTTCAAATTTTAATGAGATTTTATAAAAATGGCATTGTATATCATGTTAATCATTCTTTAACAAAAAACTTTTACAATTACCTTTCACAGTCGATTTGATTCAATATACCCGATATAATCAAATTATTAATTGATTAGTAAATAACCAAAGTATAACTGCAAAAAAAATTCAAAATCAAATATTACATAACTACATAGGAAATCACCAATTGATTATTTTGCATTATATAAATAAACAAATACGGGAAAAAAATATAATAGTATCATATTAACTAAAAAAACATGTGAAATACATAGAGTAATTTTTTGTCATTACAAAATAGAATAAGTATTACTTGTACACGTTTAAAAATTAACATGAATCATAGGAAATTTATTGTCTTTGTTAAAATATTTTCATACCAATTATCTATAGCATTGATCTAAAATATACTTTGTTCTTTTCACCGATTTTTATGGCCCTAACCAAAAGAAGTCTATAATGGTCCATATAGGGGTAACTTAATTGAGTCACAAAAATGCAATATTTTTTTACAAGATTGCTATTTATCGCTCCAAATTACTACTTGTTCTTCGAAAAAAATAATAAAAAATAGTAAATTTATAAAAATATCCTTGTAATAAAAAAAAAATTAATGGAAAAAAAACATTCAAACGTCTAACAACAAAGCTCGGAAGCCAAATAAACGTCCAGGAGCTAAGCTTGGAAGCCAAAGAAATGTCCAATGTAGAAGCCCGATGTGAAACAAACGTCCAAAAGCTATGCTTGGAAGTCAAATAAACGTCCAAACGTGAAGCCCAACTTTGAAGCAAAACATCTAAAAGGGAAAGGGAAACACATTTAAAACTTTTGAAATCCAAGCTTATCATACAGTTAAACGTCCCAGGAGGAAGCTTAAGGCCCTATGAAACGTCCTAGAGTTAAGCTTTGAAGCTAAAAAAACATTTTACCGTAAAGCCCGACTCTGAAAGCAAACATCCAGGAGCTAAGCTTGAAAGCCAAAAAAACGTCCAACATAGAAGCCCGACTATAAAAACAAACATCCAAGAGCTAAGCTTGGAAGCCAAACAAACGTCCAAACGCAAAGCCCCACTCTGAAGCTAAATGTCTAAAAGAGAAGGGAAACACATTTAGAACTTTCAAAATCCGAGCTTATCATATAGTTAAACATCCCAGGAGTAAGCTTCAGGCCCTATGAAACGTCCTAGAGTTAAGTTTTGAAGACATACAAACGTCCTACTGTGAAGCCCGACTTTGAAGAGGAACACTCACAAGGAAAGCTTGCATTGGTCATAATATAAACTTTCAATAGCAAAGCTTGCCAACAAAAAGAACATCCAATGGCAAAGGGGCAACACATTTTGAACTTTTGAAATCCAAGCTTATCATACAATCAAACGTCCCATAAGGAAAGCTTAATGTACTCAGAAACGTCCAACGTGAAAGCTTCCTCAATAATTTGATTTCTTCCGCATATCACTCAAACTACTTTCTCACATATCTCAAAATAATCAACCTAACATCAACACAAGCAACAAAGCTTTAAAAGGATATAAAATTGTTACTTTGTAATATAACCTTATTTTTAATATAATTTTAATTATAAAATCGTAATCATTTAATAATGACAAAATAAATATGGTTTAGGGTTTAGTTATAAAATATAATTAATATCTTATTAGTTTATATATAATTATGGTAATTGTGAATGGACCACACTTAGACTATTAGTCCAACAGAAAGGATCTCATTTTTTAGTGAATCAAAGTAGAGGTGCATATTTTATAGTGAATCAAAGTAGAGGTGCTGTATGCACGTTCATTTTAACTTCTTACGGGTTTAGAGTACTAGTCATGGCCATGGGCGGTTCCGGCCTACCGGTTCCACCTGAACTGGCATGTGGTCAACAGGCTTAGAACTGAGCTCGTAGTTTGACTGGGCCGGTTCTGGGTCTCATGTATAAAAAAATTTGGCCCGGTGGGCCGGGTCCAGGCCAGCCCTCCAGACAGCCCGCCATTTTTTTTTTAATATGTTGACTGGGTCAAGTATTGGACCGTTGGCAGCCCGCTAATCTGGGCCGTTGAAAGCTTTTGACTGTTGGAGATCCAACTGTCAGATTTTTTTTTTTAAATTCGATTCCAAGGTCCGGGTTTGGGTTCAGTTTCGATTTGGCTCGCCGGTTCCACAACAGTTGGCCAACGGTGAAATTTTCAAATCTGACTGTTTGATTATCTTGACCGTTGAGAATTAATGGTCATGATTTAGTTATGAAATATAATTAATATCTTATCAGTTTATAGATAATTATGATAGTTATTAATAGACCTCACTTAGACTATTAATTCAACAAAATGAACCACACTGTTTACTGAATCAAAGTAGAGGATTGCCCAGCCCGCCAGTTCAACCCTCACTTATCAGTTTTTGTATGCACGTTCATGTTTTATATCTTACGGGTTCAGATTACTAGTCATGGTGACGGATGGCCCAGCCCGCCAGTTCGACCTGAATCGATCAAATCGGCCATGAATCGGCCCGTAGTCAACAGGCCTATAACTGAGACAGTAATTTGACCGAGCCAGTTCTGGGCCTCAGGTGTAAAATTTTTTGACCGGTGGGCCAGGTCCAGGCCAGCGCTCAAGACGCCCACCATATTTTTCTTTTTTTTGTTTTTTTTTAATCTGTTGACTCGGTCCAATAATAAATTGTATAAATAAAAAAGAAAGGTGTAAATGATAGAATTAGAAATGCGCGAGTATTTGTAGAACTTGAATCAAAGTGAAAAAATCGGGGCCAAATATATATAGAAATGGATCGGTGTTTGTCCCATTTTTGTGTCTTTATTTCATGTTTATTTTCTTTTTGTTTTCCCCCATTTGTAGGATTTTTGTAGTTTATTTGGTCCATTTCGTTCGTTTTGTGTTTTTGTCTTTAGTTTATATTTTTGTATCTTTTTGCCGTGTTTTGCTTCGTGTTTTTCTGTATTTGTGTTTTCAGGAGGTAGGTTGTGTCGGTCGAGGATGGAACTGTTTGAGCCGAGACCATGATATCGAGAATTCCCGTTGGCCGAGCCAAGAAGACGACGAAGAGGACCGAAAAAACGGACAGAAACCAAGGCAGAATTTCTCGCGACTCGCGAGCTGAGTCGCGACTCGCGAATATGTCGCGACTCGCGGGGAAAACTGAGGCTAAAGGGGATTTTCGAAGAACAAGTCGCGACTCGCGAGATGGACTCGCGACTCACGGGTCAAGTCGCGACCAAGCCCCTGAATTTAAAGAAGAAGACGACGCGCGACTCGCGAGGAAGTCGCGACTCGCGACCAAGACAAAGACCATCTCGCGACTCGCGACTCAAGTCGCGAGTCGCGACTTAACCGGCGCGAATTGTTTTGGGGAGATTGACAACTCCTATTTCTTGCTTTGGATTTGGATGCACTTGGATTTGACGTTGGATTCCTTATATTAATCGTAAGATCTTTTTCTCAATTGCTTGTTGAGGATGATGGCTTGGGTTAATTTGAATGTTGATGTTGAATTTCACATGAGTAGCTAAATCCATTCGCTAGGGATAGGGGATGATTGATTAGGTTCGTTATAATTGAGTGCTTTTGATTGTTCATGTCTATTCGAGTTGTGTGAATCATAGGGTTAGTAGATTGATCACCTTTCTAACCTAAATAATCAACGTGTAGAACCGAGAGGGGAGACGTTGGTAGAATTAGGCTCGTTTAGAATAGATTTGTTCGGAAGCGTATAATCTATGTGTTGTTGGAATTGATAGTTGATCGTTAACGTTCACTATCTTGTTACGAAGAGTTATTGAGAGTGAATCTCTGAACGAGAGACGATTCAAGACCTTTAACCGAGCAATCGATTGCCGGTGATTGCATTAGAACCGAAAGCAGTTATCCCCGATTCCCTGGCACTTAAATCATTCAGTAAAGTAATTTGCTATTTGCTTTCATTTTATTTGAGTTAAATCAGTAGTTGATAGTCAAAACCTCCAAACTTGATTTAGAATGTTTAGGATTTTCACTTCTTTTATTTTCTATTTTCGTGTTTGAATAATCGTACAAAATAATCCGGCTGACCTTCCTCGAGAGACACGACCCGATGTCGAATCTTTTGATTCTACTCTGGTAAAAATTATTACAACAAAATTGGCGCCGTTGCCGGGGAAGGTTTAGGACTTATTTTGTGCGCCTATTCATCTTGTTTTTAGTGTTTCTCTTGATTCTTGTGATTTTTCTTGTTTCCGTGTTTCTCTTGATTTCTTTTTATTTGTTAGGTGTTAATTCGTGTTTTATTTTGTTTTTATCATTGGTGCTCGTAACTCTTGTTGGTCTTAGTGTATGCGTACCAGGAGTGGACGCAAATTGCTAACTCCGATCAACAAATCAGTCAACGAGAGCCTGAGGGAGCTGCTGGAAGAGCTTACTCTCGAATCTAACGAAGGAAACGAGCACTCCCCGAAATCGTCAGAAGGCAGTAACGTCGTCATGGATGAACAACAAACAGCCGCCTCGTAACACCCTTCGAGACCTAGCCCATCCGACAATTGGGCCGATAACCTCATGTATCCGGTTGCCACAAGAAGCTCGGAACTACGACCTTAAGATGATCCATTACAACCAGCTGCCATCCTTCCACGGGCTCCCGAATGAAGATCCGCTTAACTTCATTCGGGAATTCTACAATGTGCTACAGACCTTCCCTCTCCACGGGCTTACCGAAGAGCAATTGAAGATGAGGTGTTTTCTCGAGACACTGAAGGACCGGGCTAAGTCCTGGTTCATGACCCTCGCACCGGACTCTCTCACTACCTGGACTGAAGTATACACGAAGTTCATTGGGAGGTACTACTCCCATCAGAAGACCCAGGAGCTCCGGTCGCAGATCGTCTCATTTGCTCAACTACCGAACGAGCCTCTTCACGAGGCTTGGGAGCGGTTCAAGGATCTCCAGCGGCAGTGTCCTCATCACAACCTCTCTCTGGGGCTACTGATCAACTGCTTCTACGACTCCCTCCATCAAAACTTGCAGTATATGGTTGACAATGCGGCTGGAGGAGATATTGGAGCGAAGACAGCTGAGGAGATGTTTGCAATTTTCGAGACGATGAGCACGAACTCATCGCAGAAGAGCAGCCGAGGGAAGAGAGTGGTAGTGAATGAGGTCGAGCCGGGAAGCAATGTGATGGCCCAGCAGTTAGCCGAGCTCACAGAGCAAATGCGTCTACTTAATGCACGAGGAGCTCAGCCGGTTCAGACCATGACCGTTGACACGTGTGGGGCTTGTGGAGTCCCAGGCCATAGGTCTGAAGTGTCGACCAGGAGTTCGGTGAGCAGTATGCAGATGCCAGCGCCTTACAAGGATACCAAGCCCGGTCTGGCAATGACCCATATTCGAATACGTACAATCCAGGATGGCGGAATCACCCAGCTTTCTCATGGTCGAACAACTCGAACACCCTTCAGCCACCCCGTCCAAATTTCATGCAGCAACAACCTCGACCCAACTTTGTGCCCCGTCCGAACTACCAGCCACAGCAGCAGCAGCAGAGGGGACCAGAAGCCGGGTCAAGTTCAAACATTCAAGACGATGTTGCCAAAATCCTTCAGTTTATGGCTAACAGAGAGCAGCGAGATGTCAATCAGGATGCCTCCATCAAGCGCATTGAGACACAGTTAGGCCAACTGGCTACTCGGGTCGGAACTATTGAGACCGAGATGAACAAGGGGAAGTTGCCTAGTCAGCCCGAGGACGCTAAAGCCATCACTGTACTCAGAAGCGGGAAGGAAGTGGACAACAAAGTACAGATGCCCGAGCCCGAAGATAAGGAGACTCATTCAGAAAAGATCCAGGAAGCAGAGCCGGGGAAGGAGACAGAAGAGCCGGTGCTACATAAGTCGCCGAATCCATACAAGTCGCGTATCCCTTTTCCGGACCGACTTAGGAACGAGAAGCAAGAGAAGCAGTTCCGGGATCTTTTCAGCATGCTCTCTAAAGTGAATGTCAACTTGCCACTTCTCGATGTGATTAAGAATATGCCATCATATGGTAAGTTCTTCAAGGATTTGGTGACCAAGAAGAGGAAGTTTGAGGATGGAGAGAAAGTGGTGGTGTACGAGGCGGCAAGTGCCATGCAGCACGACTTGCCCAAGAAGGAAAGTGACCCCGGTGGTTTCATTATCCAGATAGCCTTGGGAAACGGGAAGGTAGCTTCGGGGATGCTTGGCCTCGGAGCTGGGATAAATCTCATGCCCTTCTCGATTTTTCAGAGGCTCGGCCTTGGAGAGTTGAGGCCGATGTGCCTCCAGTTGGCGGACCGTTCCATACGGTATCCGAAGGGGATTGTCGAGGATGTTCTCGTGAAGGTGGGCAAGCTGATTATTCCAGTTGATTTCGTTGTTTTAGACGTGGGAGATGTTCACGAGAATGGGAAGGATCACACCATCCTTCTCGGAAGACCTTTCATGGCAACTACGAACACCCTTATTGACGTGAAGAATGGAACCCTGAATATGTCTGTTTTGGGGGAAACGGTGTCCATTTCCGTTCGAGGAGCCATGTCTGCCTCCTCAGTGAATTTTGTCGAAGAATGTGCTTTCATTGACCTAGCCGACCAATTAGTTGATGAGATGGTCATTCACGAGTTCGAGGAAGTGTCGTTGCCGGTTTTCGAGGAAGAGGAAGAACCTACAGTGGAGCTTTTTGAAGTAGGAGATGGTCATTCCCGAGCTGAGGCCACACTCGAGCTTAAGGAGCTGCCCAAGCACCTTAAGTATGTCTTCTTGGATGATGCCCAACAGAAACCGGTGATCATCTTTGCTGAGCTTGACCGAGAGGAAGAAGAGGAGCTGATTGCTATGCTTCGGAAGAACCAGAAAGCAATCGGGTGGAGTCTGGGAGACATCAAAGGGATCAGTCCATCTACATGCATGCACCGGATTATCTTGGAAGAGGGAGCCAAGCTGTTTCGGGATAGCCAGCGACGGCTAAACCCGAATATGATGGAGGTAGTGAAGAAGGAGGTGCTGAAACTTTTCTCTGAGGGATTGATCTATCCAGTGGCGAGTAGTGAGTGGGTTAGCCCTATTCATGTGGTGCCGAAGAAGGGAGGCATAACCGTGATCGAGAATGACAAGAAGGAGATGGTTCCCACCCGCATCACTACTGGGTGGCGCATGTGTATTGATTATCGGCGACTGAATGCGGTGACGAAGAAGGATCATTTTCCGTTGCCGTTTATTGACCAGATCCTTGATCGTCTTTCGGGCCATCAGTTCTACTGCTTTTTGGATGGACTTTCCGGCTATTACCAAGTGGCCATTGCACCTGAAGATCAGCCCAAGACGACGTTCACGTGCCCCTTTGGCACTTTCGCATTCAGACGGATGCCCTTTGGCCTATGCAGTGCACCGGGTACATTTCAGAGGTGCATGTTCTCCATCTTCTCGGATATGCTTGAGGACTGCCTGCAGGTATTTATGGATGACTTCTCTATCTTTGGTGATTCATTTTCTCATTGTCTTCATAATTTATCTCGGGTCCTTGAACGTTGCATTGAATCTAATTTAACTTTGAGTTGGGAGAAAAGTCATGGTTAGGAGTGGTGTTGTGTTAGGCCATGTTGTCTCTAGTAGGGGGATGGAAGTAGACAAGGCTAAGGTGGATGTTATTGAAAAACTTCCCCCTCCTGTGAATGTTAAGGGGATCAGGAGTTTCTTGGGGCATGCGGGGTTTTATAGGCGTTTTATTAAGGACTTTTCGAAAATTAGTCAACCATTATGCCACTTGCTTGCTCAGGATGTACCATTTATTTTTGATGATGCTTGCTTGAGTGCTTTTAATAAATTAAAGAACAAGCTTGTGAGTGCCCCTATTGTTATTGCCCCTGATTGGTCACTTCCTTTTGAAATTATGTGTGACGCATCTAACCTTGCAGTGGGCGCCGTTTTGGGTCAACGAGTTGATAAGTTACTTAGGGTGATTTATTATGCTAGTTTGACTCTTAATGGAGCCCAACAGAATTATACTACCACCGAGAAGGAACTTCTAGCCGTGGTCTTTTCTCTTGAAAAATTTAGATCTTACATTTTGGGATCTAAGGTAATTATTCACTCAGACCATGCGGCTTTGAAGTACCTTTTGAGCAAAACTCATTCTAAACCAAGGCTCAGCCGGTGGATCTTGTTACTGCAAGAGTTCGATGTAGACATTAGAGATAGGAAAGGTTGTGAGAATGTAGTTGCTGATCACTTGTCACGCATAGTCCCATCTGACTCACCATCTTCATTGATTGTGCATCATTCTATTAATGATAATTTTCCTTATGAGCATGCGCATGAAGTGTCGAAAAGTGCTTGGTATGCTGACATTGTGAATTTCTTGTGTTGTGGGAAACTGCGGCCTGACCTCTCTTCCCAAGAGAGAAAGCGTTTTATTTCTGTGTGTAGGGACGACTTCTGGGATGAGCCGTTCCTTTTCAAGATGGGAAAGGACGAGGTGCTTAGGAGATGTGTACCGGAAGAGGAGCAAGTCGATGTCCTTACATTTTTCCACGAGTTTCACTGTGGAGGCCACTTTGGCGGTCAGAAAACCGCCTTTAAGGTACTACAATCCGGTTTGTTCTGGCCATCACTTTTCAAAGATGCTCACACTTTTTGTCGCTCTTGTGATCGATGCCAAAGAACTGGGAATATAGGTCGCAGAAATGAGATGCCCTTGACTAATAACCTTCAAGTCGAAATTTTTGATGTCTGGGGCATTGATTTTATGGGACCATTTCCTAAGTCTAATGGCTATGAGTACATTTTACTTGCCGTAGATTACGTGTCTAAGTGGGTTGAGGCTATCCCCACAAAGACATGTGATGCTAATATCGTGATCAAGTTTGTGCAAGGGTATATATTGAGTAGGTTTGGGTTCCCAAGAGCAATTGTGAGTGATGGAGGGAAGCACTTTTGCAACAAGCTTTTCGAGAAGCTGATGAAGAAGTATTGTATATCACATAAAGTGGCTACTCCCTATCACCCACAAACCTCGGGCCAGGCGGAGACAAGCAATAAGCAGATAAAGACCATCTTAGAGAAGACGGTAAACTCATCGAGGAAGGATTGGTCGAGCCGGCTTGATGACGCTTTATGGGCCCAACGAACAGCATACAAAGGCGTCTTGGGAATGAGCCCTTTCAGACTCGTCTATGGGAAGTCATGTCACTTACCAGTGGAGATTAAGCACAAGGCCTTGTGGGCCATTAAGAAGACGAACCTTGATCTAGATGCAGCAGGGAAAGCCAGACTGTTGCAATTATCGGAGTTAGAAGAAAGAAGGAACGAAACATATGAGAATGCCAAAATCTACAAAGACAAGGTGAAGAGACTCCATGATGCTCACATTATCCGGAAGGAGCTAGTACCGGGCATGCAAGTGCTTCTCTACAACTCTCTACTTCGTCTTTTTCCGGGGAAACTAAAGTCCCGGTGGAGTGGCCCATATATTATTGATGCGGTGCTGAGTTTTGGAGCCGTCAGACTCCGGAATCCAGCAAATGGCGAGCTATTTACAGTTAACGGTCAGCGAGTGAAGCCATATTTCGACGGAGAGTTCGGGAAGTACCATGTCGAGACCATCAGTCTCGGCGACCCAGCGTATCCTTGATCTAAGGCACCAGTGCCGAGCTCCCGGCTTAAAACCGAGCATTTATTGTACTATGTGTATATATATATATCGATTATGATTCCATAAAAAAAAAAAGGGGTCGCGACTCGCGAGTTATGTCGCGAGTCGCGAGTTAGCTCGCAAAATAGGTCATCAGTCCCAGTAATTCTCGCGACTCGCGACTCGCGAGCTAAAGAGTCGCGCCTCGCGAGGCATGTTGCGAGTCGCGAGTAACCCCCAGGAAATTGAAGTCGCTTGCAGTTTTTCTCGCGACTCGCGAGTTCGGTCGCGAGTCACGACTTATCTTGCGCTTTAAACTGACGGATTTTCTTTTCTTTTTGCAGACACTTTTTCCATTTCTCTCGCGACAAACTCTTTCGCGATAGCAGCGACCCTCTCCACAATTCCCTCGCATCTCCATTCCGTCTCCGTTTTCCTTTGCCACCGGCGACCACCGAACTCCGGCGACAACCCCAGGCGCCTCATTTCCGACCACGCGCAGTTTTTTTTTCTCTTCCCCTCGCGACGGGAATTCGGGAACCCTAGCTCAGTTCCCGTCACTTGCGAGCTCCAAGCACCGTCAATCCCGACCACCGAGCACCTCCTCCAACCGACTGCGGCCACCACATGCCTCCTTCAACATCTTCACAGCTCGTCTTCGCCGTTTCGAATTTCCGGGTAATCGTGCTTCCTCCTATTGTGATTGAAGTAATTCTGTTCTCTGGGGTTGATTGGTGCTGCCTTGAGGTGAATTTCGAAACATTTGGGCTCGCTCATTCTTGTCTTAACTATAACTTCATTTTCGAGTTCTTGCACGTGCGGTGTTTGATAAATTGCTCGAACGAACTACTTATTCAAAATGGTGCGGAAAGGTGCTGGTAACAAACGGAAGAAGACTGTCGGAGAGTCGTCTGCCTCTCGGGACGAGCCGGTTGATCTACGGGCCGACTATGATGCTCCCTTTCTTATTCTCTCCGAACGAGAGGGGGAGGTTTATGCCCGGCTCGCGAAAAAGGAAGTCTTGAAGTCCAAGACGTTTGACTTCACCTTACTCTCCGATCTTGGGATTCTAGGGACCGTCGAGACCCATCTTGACGCACTGCGCTTGAAGGATTATGCCCGCTTGGTCCACCCGACGTACCGCAACCTTACTCTCGAGTTTTTCAGTACTCTCGAGATGCCGGTGACTGAGGACTATATGACGTGCCGTCTACTTGGGACGGAGAGGATCATCACCCTCGCCATCATGGAGGAGGTCGTGGGTCTCCACATGGGTGGCGCACGAATGAATGAGGGCATGTCTCCTGATGTTTTCTGGCCCCAGCTTTCTCCCGACACGGTGTGGGACTCCCAGGGCTTGCCTAATAGCCTTATCAAGGACGGTGCTGTCGCCGTGATGCACAAATTTCTGTGCTACGGTGTGTTCGGGAAGAAGGAGGCCAACAAGGTCACTCAGATTGACCTCGCTCTGCTGTGGGCTATGATCGCGAGGAAGGACCGAGATATATTGTATATTTTTAAGGAGGAGTGCCGGGCCATCATCCGGAACAAGAGAGCGGCTGCTTGCTTTGGCCATATAGTGACCGCCTTGGCTTTGTACTTCGGGGTTGACCCGGAGGCGTCTGGTAGCCTTCCTTCGAGTATGCGTTTCATTGACTATTACGAGCTCAGTCATGCGGGCCTCCTCCTTAACCGCCGCGCCTTTGAGATCTATGAGAAGCGGCCGGCCTACCTCACTTATATGAAGAAGGTGGCCGCGGCCGCCTCCGCGGCTGAAGCAGGCTCGTCTCGTCCTCGTCAGGCGACCGAGGATACCCACGAGACGGAGGCGATGGAGCACGACCAGGCTCTTATCGACGAGGACCATCGCCTTCCGCCTCCTGACGCTTGGCACCCGACCCCCGAGGCTGATTCCTGGGAGCCACGGCCCACACGTTCGCCCCCACGACCAGCAGAGCCCTTTGCTCCGCCTGCTTGGTGGTCCCAGCCTCCTCCGTGGTGGACGGCTTACGAGGACCGTTATGATCGTGACATGCGGGACATTAATGCCCGCTTTCAGGCTATTGAGCTCTGGCAGAGCCAGTGGGACACGCGTTACACGCAGTGGAGCTCCGGCACCGGCCAGCCTTTTCCACCTCCTCCTTCTCCTCCTCATGGACCACAGTGACTTGTCACTGTGTTGGTTAGCTTTTCTTTTTCTTTTCTCTTTATTTTGTTTCTCTTTTGTCTTTTCTCTTTGTTGTGTCTTGTCGGTTGATTTTGTAAGTACATCTTCCTTTCGCTGCGGATCGACAATGGGGACATTGTCTGATTTTAAGTGTGGGG